AATTGTGTTACATCTAAAGGATGGAATAATAAATAAATACTAAAAATTATATATGTGTGTATATGTACATAAGATTTGAGAAAATATAGAGAAATGGTAATAGTAGTTATTCCTGGATGGTAAGATAACATGTAGTTTTTATTCTCTTTTTAAAAATTTTCAGTGTTTTTCCAATTTCCCTACAACTTAAAACTTTTGTAATCTGAAATATATATGCAATTTGAAATTTTCAGGCAAAGATGAGAAAATAAACTTCTCTTTACAGTTAACTCTTGATTATTCTTGATAATGAGAGGAAATAATTGTCTGATAATCTATCACATGGATGCAAAAGTTGTTAATAATTTGTTCTTGTATCTTGTTCTTACTTTTGAAAATGTTTTTTTTTTTTTTGTTCACAGTCCTTCAAATTACCATGTAAAATCATGTTGACATTATTGAAATCTTAACCCCCAAAATGTTTTAGGGGAGAAAAATATGGTGAATTTCCTAATTTGGTGAATAACAAGTATTTTCTAAATCAGAGTTATTTTTGGAGAGATTTGAGGATATGTAGAAAAACTAAGAGGACTGATAGTATCTTTAATACCTTGACCTAGACAACCATTGTCCACATTTGACTCAGATTTTTGTAGGTATTTTTTCCTGTGTGTGTGAGTGTGCAGATGTATACATGTGCCATGTATATGGTAAGTATGCAAAATGCTGTAAGAGTTTTTAAACTATTTTGTAACTTACCTTCTGTATTTCACAGTAAAGAGTAATGTTTTTTATACTGATCTTCAGACAAATTGTTACTGTTCTTAGGTGTCATCAGGCAGGTTCTGACATATAACAACCTTACGTACAACAGAATTTAACACTGCAACATAGGGTTGTTTTATGTCAAGACATAATCCATTGTGAAGGCTGTAGTCTTTGATCATCATCCAAAATTAAGTGCTTTAAGTCTTCTTCACTTTTAGCAGGCAAGGTTGTGTCATCTGCACATCGCAGGTTGTTAACGAGTCTTTTTCCAATCCTGATGTGACATTCTTCACATAGTCCAGTTTCTTGGATTATTTGCTCAGCATACAGATTGAGGAAGTATAGTGAAAGGATGCAACACTGATGTACACCTTTTCTGATTTTAAACCATGCAGTATGTCCTTGTTCTGTTTGAATGACTCCTGGTCTATGTACAGGTTCCTCATGAGCACAATTAAGTGTTCTGACATTCCCTTTCTTCTCAATGTTATCCATAATTTGTTATGATCCACACAGTCAAATGCTTTTGCATAGTCAATAAAACTCAAGTAAACATCTTTCTGGTATTCTTTGCTTTCAGCTAAGATCCATCTGACATCAGCAATAATAATATCTCTCATTCCATGTCCTTTTCTGAATCCAGCTTGCATTTCTGAAAATCCTATGTCAATATAAAAGCTGTAATCATTTTTAAATTATCTTCAGCAAAATTTTACTTGTGTGTGATATTAATGATATTGTTTGATAATTTCCATATTCTGTGGGATCACCTCTTTGGAATGGGTACAAATACGGATCTCTATCAGTCAGTTGTCTTCCAAATTACTTGGCAAACTTTACTGGAAATCTTTAAGAACAGCCCTGAAACGTTGTCTGATACAGTGCTGGAAGATGAGCTCCTCAGGTCGGAAGGCACTCAAAATATGATTAATCGGGGCAGAACTGCCTCCTCACAGTAGAGTTGACCTTAATGATGTGGATGAAGTAAAGCTCTCGGGACCTCCACTTACTGATGAGGCACGACTCAAAGTGGGAAGAAACAGCTGCAAACAGCCATTAATAATCGGAATGTGGAATGTACAAAGTATGAGGATAGGAAAATTAGAAGTTGTCAAAAATGAAATGGAACACATAAAGATTGATTTCCTGGGCATCAGCAAACTGTAATGGACTGGTTTGGGCCAGTCTACAATCATATTATCTACTATGGCAGGAAGGACAAACTGAAGAGAAGTGGTGTCGCATTCATCATCACAAATAATGCTTTAAGATCTATCCTGAAATACGATGCTGTCAGTGACAGGATAATATCCCTATGCCTACAAGGAAGACCTGGTAGCATAATGCCTAAGGCATTTGACTGCTAACCAGAAAGAAGCCTGGTGGTTCAAACCCACCAGCCACTCCTCGGAAGGAAGGTTGGGCAATCTACTTCCGCAGTGATACTGCCTCGGAAACCCAAGGAGGGGTCCTTATGAGTTGGAGATGACTCAACGGCAATGAGTTTGGTTTTTTGGTTTACAAGGAAGACCAGTTACTACTACTATTATTCAAAGTTACTCACCAACCACTAAAGTGAAAGATGAGAAAATTGAAGTACAACATAAACAATAACAACAAACCCACAAATGGCTATCTTAATTTTTTTCTCTTGTATAACTATGTGTATATGTGTGCACACATACACAAGGAGCCTTGGTGGCACAGTGGTTAAGTGCTTGACTGCTAACCAAAAGGTCAGCAGGTAGAACCTACCAGTTGCCCTGCAGCAGAAAGAGGTGGCCATCTGCTTCTGTAAAGATTATAGTTCTTCTCTGTGGGGCAGTTCTACTCTGTCTGATAGGGTTGTTAGAAATCAGAATTGATTTGACTGCAACGGGTTAGACACAAACGTATATATACATATGAAGCAACAGTTCAGTTGTAAAATTCTTACCTTCCATCCAGGAGACCCAGTTTTTTTGCCGGCCAATGCCCTTCACGTGCAGTCTCCACCCATCTGTCAGGGGAAGCTTGCACATGGCTGTGATGCTGAACAGGTTGCAGCAGAGCTTCCAGACCAAGAACCACTAGGAAGAAAGGCCTGGTGATCTACTTCAGAAAATCAGTGAAAGCCCCGTGGATCACAAAGGTCAGATCCTGTTTGTATGGGGTCACCACAAGCAGGGGCTGAATCAATGGCAGTTAACAATAACAAGAACACACACACATAATATATACACTTATACACATACACACATGCAGAAAGGTGACAATCTGCTAGCTCTCTTGCAAGTGGGATGTGAGGTTTCCTCATTTTGCTTCCATCTAATTAGATAAAATGTCAAGGATCTGTGTAAATTGCAGCAAAGGGCAATGCCATATAAAATTTCATGTTCATCCATAGTCTTAAGAAACTTGTTACTTTTGGTCACATTTTTTCTGCTGTAACTATTTCCTCTAAGGTGAACTTGACCTTGTTACATTTCTTCCCCCTTGATCCTCTTTTCTCATCTTCTATTTTTCTGTTCATGTTCCCTTAGACATCATTTGTCTAATTCATTTCATGGTCTTCCAGCAATGTAGTCATGTATCTTAACCCTTCACTGACTTGTCAAATTCCTGCAATTACATGCATGCCTTTTGCACTTCTGATTTCTCAGTGTAACTGATCTGGATCATTCCATCCCTGTAAACATGCTCAAATGGAAAACTAAACATTCTTAAAAGCATTCTGTGCTCTCATAAAGACTTCTTTTACTTACCTTTCATTATTGCTCTCTGAAACAATGAAGAACTCTTGGTGTGTTTACTTCCAATGGTATGGGTTTGAGAAAGCACCTTGAAAAGAATGTAACTTGCCTCTGGAAGCTTGCAACTAACTAGTTACAAATGAATGAATCTTCTATTTTCTTTACGGAAAATTGAAAAAATGCTTCAAGCTGTGCTTATGTTAGATTTGGCATCACACTGAGAATAGGGCAAAGATACTGACGAAGAAACCCTGTCGTGAAATTAGATGAAAAACAGTAGTGAACGGAATTTCATTTAAGTGAGTGTTTTTACGATTTATATTTTTCTTTCTGTCTTGCATTTTTTAAAAATATAGTTCAGCGCTTTTCCAGAAATGTAATAGAAGCCCAGAGAACAACCACAACATAGCAATGAAGACAAAGAGAATGCCGCGAGGTGGATGCTGGCTGCAAGAAAATAGTTCCCAGGAGCAGCAAGAATGCATTTTTCATTTGCTGTTGCTATTCCACACAGAATTGGTAAACCAAAGCCTTTCTATTCTATTTCAGAAGACTTTAGAACTTATGGTCAGTTTTTTCAGACCTCAGATAGTTCCAAGTGAACTAATTAACAAGCTAAAAAGGTACTGTTCATTTTTCCGCCTAATCCAACCTCATTCATTTTTTGGTTCTGAGTTTAGGCAGTAAATTCTCACTATTTTCGACTCAATTCAACTCTGGTATCTGTTCAAATAACGGGCACACACTTCTGTGAGCACACTCTGCCAATCTCATTTTCTTTGCCCCTTGCTTGTTCATTTTTCAAAGGAGCTCTGGTAGCATAGTGGCTAAGGCACTTGACTGCTAACCAGAAGGCTGGCGGTTCAAACCCACCAGCCACTCCTCGGAAGGAAGGTTGGGCAATCCTACTTCCGTAGTGATACTGCCTCGACTCCTCGGAAGGAAGGTTGGGCAATCTACTTCCGCAGTGATACTGCCTCGGAAACCCAAGGAGGGGTCGCTATGAGTCAGCGCTGACTCCACGGCACATAACAACAACAACAAAGTGTTCACAAGCGCGCCTACAGGGCAGCGTCCAACACTGGTCAGGTTAGGAGCCTGGGCCTCCGATCCGCCAAGGGGCGGCCTGGCTGCAAAGCAAGACTGGGGACCGCTCGGCAGCCGGAGCGTCGCCATGGCAACGACGCCGCGCGCCGGTCCCGGCCAGGACGACCGACACTTCTGAGAGCGGAAGTCTCCGCCCCCAGCCTGTTGGGCGGTGGTAGCAACGGCTACCACCATGGCAACGGCGTCGCGCGTTCGCGTAGGCCAGGAGGGTCAGGAAATGCTGACACGGAAGGGCCAGTCAGCGTCTTGCTGGGCAGCAGTGGACGCCGCCGGGAGCGTCGCCATGGCAACGTCTCCGCGCTTTTGCAGCGGAGAGGAGGGCGGGGACATGCGAGCGCGGAAGTCCCCGCCCCCCGCCTGCTGGGCGGCGGCAGCCGTAGCGGCCCGCAAGGATTTGAAACCGTTTGGTGGCGGCGGCGGCCGAGCGGAAAACTTGCTGTAGGCGCGCCAGGTTCTTATTTTCCGGACTCTCCGTCCCCCACCCCACCCCCAGGTTCTCGAGTGGAATTTTGCGCGGGTGGCGGCCGCATGCGGGGAGGGGCCTCGCGTCTCAGGCCGCGGGTCCGTTCGCGAGGCCCGCGGGGCGCGCGCCCCCTTTGGGGGGTAGGCGCAGGCCGCTGGGATCCGCTTGCAGAGTGAGATTCAATCCGGGGGCAGATCAGAAAAGTTGTAAATAAAGTTTGAGAAGCTGAGGGAACAGGTCAGCATGATACGGTCTAGAAATCCGACCGAAGAGGTTTGCGCTCGTGGGAAGCAGTCTGTGCCCTGGACGAGGTAGGAGCGGGGACGCGGCCCGGGTCGAGCCCCTAGGCCGCCCACACGGGCCGTGAAGTGCCTTCCGGAAGGAATGAGTGCCCCCTGGGGTTAGGGGAGAACCGGTGTGCTGGTTGTTGAGAGCGACAGTCTTAGTCCGCTTTGGGAAGGCCCTGCCCCAGCATCAGCGTGTGTTGGAAACTCCAGAGTGTTTCCGAGTTTCTGTTTCAAGTGTTAAAGAGAACATAGACGTATGTAACCACCTTTTATATTTATTGGACAGCTATTTTTATTTTTTGTCTTTAATATTTAAAGATGAGTAAAAACAAGATAGAAGAGGCGAATGCAATGGCATGAGCCTCCCCACTGAGCACGGAAGGCCCGGGGAGTGGTGTGGCTGCAGCGAGCGGAGCGCCCGATGCTGGACGTGGTGTCGGGGACCAGCGCTCCCCTTCTCTAGGACCCGCGTCAGTGTTTCACCCTGCAGAGCCTCAGCTGCCTCCTCTGGGAAATGGCCGGGAAATCGTGCCTGTCTCCTGGGCTGAGGATGACTTGGTATGAATTGTAAAGCACAGCGCATTGTGCCTGGCACAGGTGGCAGTCCTCTTCATTCACAGTAACTGCCAGGACTCCGAAAGTGTCAGCCCTCAAACATGCACCTGTCGGAAGCGACTCCATGGGAGTGGGTTACTTTTTTTGTTTGTTTGTTTTTGTTTGGAGGACTTATTACACGTTTCCTTGAATGACCCACTGTAAATTTAAAATATGACTTAATCAAGCACCATTCATTTTACACACTTTTCAGGGATATGTTTCTTGCCTTTGGCAAGGGGCATCATGTAAGGGAGATGTTTTCTCTGTTCAGCAGTTGTGGGCTTTTTTCCAAGGCCTTATGTTATCTGTGGTCTGCTTATGCTTTGTTAACTCCATGGCAGCTAAGTCCTTTAAGAAGGTCTTAGCCCATTTTGTAGCTATCCACAAAGAAACACGTTGAAGAAAAAAAAAGGGAGGGGGCAATGAGTTTAACCAAAGATGTGATGGGGATACAGAGTGTCCATATGAACAACAGCTACCCTATTTACTTTTTAACTTTTGAAATAAGTTATGTAACTACTGTTGTTGTTATGTGTTGTCGAGTAGGACCCAACTCATAGCGACCCCTCCCTGGATTTCCGAGGCAGTATCACTATGGAAGTAGATTGGCACACTGTAAATACTTTAACCAAGGATATAGCTTTACTTGTTTTTCTATTCTATTCATTTAAATTTGCAACATTAGGAGTAATATTTTTTGATGAGCTGCAACTAAGTAGATGGAATTTTTTTGTGTAATGTGTAATCTGTATATAAGTTGAAATTTTGTAGTAAGAATTCCTTGAAGAGTTGAAATGTTAATTTCATTTTTGCCTTTTTACATTTCTTTATTTGGTTGAAGTGTAAATAAGGGAAACCATATTTTTAGCTTCTACCAAATACTACTTTCACTCTCTGCCTTGTTTTTCCTAAAGGTTGGGCAATCCTACTTCCGTAGTGATACTGCCTCGGAAACCCAAGGAGGGGTCGCTATGAGTCAGGGCTGACTCGACGGCACATAACAACAACAACAACATAGACTCCATTAGTCTGGGGAGAAAAGCTTCTATAGAAAACTTCCCATCCAGGTTTTTGTGTGAACATAGATATTCATTTCACTTGGGTAGATACCTTAAGAATGAGATTGCTGGGTCATAAGGTATTTGACTACTAACCAGAAGACTTGTGGTTCAAACCCACCAGCTGCTTCTTGGAAGGAAAATTGGGTGATCTACTTCTGTAGAGATACCTCCTCAAAAACCCAAAGAGGGGTCGCTATGAGTTGGATCTGACTCAACGGCAGTGAGTTTGGTTTTTTGGTTTGATGGTAAATGTGTGTTTGTAAGAAACTGCCAAACTGTTTTTGCAGAGTGGCTGCACCATCTTGATTCCTGTTGTCCCCATCCTCACCAGCATTTGGTATTTGTATTCTTTATTTTAGCTGTTTTAACAGGTGGTTCAAACCCACCAGCCACTCCTCGGAAGGAAAGTTGGGCAGTCTACTTCCATAGTGATAACTGCCTTGGAAACCCAAGGAGGGGCCGCTATGAGTCGGATTCGACTTGACGGAACATAACAACAACAAAGTGGTCTCTCATGTAGTTTTCAGTGTCATTAGAGCAGTTCTGTTTCTGCTTCTCAAAATGCTTCTTTATTAGTTGGCTATATTGCTGACTTACAGGCAAAATTGGAGTTTGAACTTGTGCCTAATGTCATGAATTTGGGTGAGTCATTTAACTGTTGTTTTAACCTCCTCTAACCTTAAGCATCAACATCTCATGATTGCGACAAAGGATTTTTTGAGAACTGGTCATTGTTCTTAGTTGCTATCCAGTTGGTTTTGACTCATGGCGACCCTTTGTGTGCGGAGTAGGCCTGATCCATCAGGTTTTCAGGCTGTGACCTTTTGGAAACAGATTAGGAAGAGGCCTCTGGGTAGCTTTGAACTGCCGACCTTTTGACTAGTAGTCAATTACTTAACCTTTTGTGCCGTCCAGGGACTCCTAGTGATTATGAGGAATATTTTTGCATTAGCCCTAGCTGTGGGTACACTAAGGAGCCCTGGTGGCACAGTCGTTAAGCACTCTGTTGCTGTCCAGAAGGTCAGCAGTTTGAACCCACCAGGTGCTCTAGGGGAAAAGACCTGGTGATCCACTCTTGGAAAGATTACATCTTAGGAAACCCCGTGGGGCAGTTCTGCTCTGTCACACAGAGCTGCTCTGCATCAGAATCCAACAGCAGTGTTACTCTCAGTGTATGTTGGAGTCCATGGGCAGGATTCATTGTTTCGGCCTGATCTGTGCTTGTAGGCCAGAGCTGTGCTTCAGTTCTGAGTTTATGAGTTTCTATTTGTTCAGCCATTTGAACAGCTGCTTTTCAGTGTTGAGTTATATTGTTAAGAAGTGGTATCATCGCCGTTGCTTCCAAGTCTACTAATGGAGTGATGTACTAAACTAGTAAAGTCTACTAATGGAGTATTACTCATGACTAATGGAGTAAGTTGTAGAAGTGTGAAACAGGACCAGTTAACCAGTGAACCAACAACCAACCAGACAGACAAAAAAAACCAAATCAGCCAACCAGAGGACACATTTATTTATTTTTGCCCCAGAGGATACATTTAAGTAAAGTTTCTTTTGACCATGTTTTGAATTTGAGAATATGTTTCTTTTGCTGTTATCCAGAAGGTAGGGTGGAGGTAGTTTTGATAAACGAGTAGTGGCATATAGTATTCTTGTTCTAGAAGACCTATTTGGTATACGTACGGAACAGAAGCATTAAAAAAAAGAAAAAAACAGGTAAATAATTGTTGTGGCCTTTGAGTGGATTCTGATCCTTGGCGATGCTATAAGACAGGAGAAATGTCCGTTGGATTTTCTAGGCAGTCATCTTATCAGGGGCTGGAGAAACCGTTTGATTTGCTCCCTAGTACTTAACTACTGTGCCACCTAGACTTCTAATGATGTAAAAGTGGGATGTTAATGGTTAGTTTAGCACTTACTTAGCAATCTACTTTGAAGCTTCTAATATGTACCAGATAATGTGATAAGACGTGAAAAGCCGTGGTCCCTGCTTTACAGAAACATCTCACAGATAGTGGAAGAGACAGACATGTAAAGAAACAACACCATGTCACAGCATCTTGAGAGGTTAGTTGAGAAGCGTAGGGGCAATGACTATACGTTACTGGTGGAGTAATTTGGAAAAGGATGACAATGGTTACACAACCTGAAGAATGTCAACAGTGTCATTGACTTGTGCGTGTAGAATTTGTTGAAATTGTGTTTCCTTTGCCGTGTAGAAGGAGCTCTGGTGGTGTAGTGGTTAAGGCATTTTGGCTGCTACCCAAAAGGTCAGTAATTGAAAGCCACCAGCTACTCCGTGGAAGAAAGATGGGGCGGTCTGCTCTGTAAAGATTTACAGCTTTGGAAACCCATTGGGATCGCTGTGAGTTGGAATTGCCTTGATGGCAGTGAGTTTGTTCTGTTTTTGTTTTCTCTGTCTATTTGCACACAAAATAAAATAACAGCTTGCTAAGTGCTGTCACGTGGTGGTAAGCCTTGTGCATTGAGAGCAGAGCAATGAGTAGTCTGGGGTAAGGGAGGCCCCTTTACTCAGGAAGTGACATTTGGGCTCCATTGACCTGATTCCAGGCTGAGGCAACAGCCTGTGCAAGAAAGTGTGCGGAGTCAGGTAAGGGCTCAGAATGTCTGAATGGGGAGAAGTTCATTGAGGCCAGAATGAAGTGTTTGTTGATAAGTTAGTATAGTTGGGCAAAGCTTGTGTGTGTGTTTACCGATTAGGAAGAGCAGTACCAAACCAAAAAACCCACTGCCATCGAGTCAGTTCCGACTCCTGGTGACCCTTTGGCGTAGACTGGAAAGGCACGGGGTTTCTGAGACTATCGATCTTTTTGGGAGCCAACTGCCTCATCTTTCTCCTGCTGAGAGGCTGCTTGGTGGGTTCCAACAGGCAGCCTTTTGGTTAGCAACCAAATGCATTACCACTATGCCACCAGAGTGCCTTAGGAAGAAACACAAGGGCCAATATTTTAAGCTTTTTTGAGGGGAATGAAGTTTTTAAAATTTACATACAGTTAAATTCACTTTTTTGGCACACTGTTTATGAGTTTTTACACATGTATAGATTCTTATAACCGCAAGAGACAGAATACAGGTCCGTTCTAATACCCTAAATGCTTTCCTTGCGTTGCGCTTTGTGTTCAGACCCTCCCCCCATTGCTGACCCTTTCCAACACTAATCTGCTTTCCTGTGTATGTTTCTTACCTTTTCTGGAATGTCATACGAATGAAACCATGTGCTATGTAGCCTTTTGAGACTGGCTCCTTTGACTTAGGATAATACATTGAGAGTTTATCTGTGGTGCGTGTAGCAGCAGTTCATTCCCCTCTGTCTCTCTGTCGGTGAGTGCTGTTTCCCAGTGTAGATGGCCACAGTTTGTTCATCCATTCCCAAGCTGACGGATGGGTGGGTGGTTTGGTGATTACCTCGGTGGGGAGAAAAGCTTCTATAGAAGCTGCCCCTCCAGGTTTTTGTGTGAACATAGATTTTCATTTCACTTGGCTGGATATCTTAAGAATGGGATTGCTGGGTCATGTGGTAAACGCGTTCGTAAGAAACCGCCCAAGTGTTTTGCAGAGTGGCTGCACAACTTTGATTCCTATTGTCCCCATCCTCACCAGCATTTGGTATTTGCATTTTTTATTTTAGCTGTTCGGGCAGGTGTGTGGAAATTCTGGTAGCATAGTGCCTAAGGCACTTGACTGCTAACCAGAAGGCTGGCAGTTCAAACCCACCAGCCACTCCTCGGAAGGAAGGTTGGGCACTCTACTTCCGTAGTGATACTGCCTCGGAAACCCAAGGAGGGGTGACTACGAGTCAGAAATAACTCAATGGTAGTGAGTTTTAGGAGCTCTGGTAGTGTAGTGCCGAAGGCATTTGACTGCTAACCAGAAGGCTGGCGGTTCAAACCCACTAGCCACTCCTTGGAAGGAAGGTTGGGCAATCTACTCCCGTAGAGAGACCTCCTTGGAGACCTAAGGAAGGGTCGCTATGAGTCGGATCCAACTTGGCGGCAGTGCATTTTGCATTTGCTTTGCAGAGAGAACGTTTTTTATTTTGATGATGTCCAACACATCAAATCTGTCCTTTATGGATAGTGCTTAGTGTTTTAGCTAAGAAATCTTTGCCTCACCCAAGGTATTGAAGATTTTCTTATGTTTTCTGATGAAAGTTTTAAAGTTCTACACTTAGTTATATGATCCATTTTTGAGTTAGCTTTTGTATATAGTGTGAAGTTTAGGTAAGAGTCCTTCTTTTTCTTTTTTTTGCTGGCATATAAGTGGCCAGTTGGTACAGTATCATTTGTTTTAAAGCTACACTTTATTCATAAATAGTACTTTTGTGGAAAATCAGTTGTCCATGTTTGTGTTGGTGTGTTTCTGGGTTCTCTGTTCTGTTTTCATTGTCTGTGTGTCTGTTCTTTCACTAATTGCTCATTGTCTTGACTGCTGTACGTTTTAGCACATCTTAACATTGGGTAACGTGAGCCCTCCAACTTTTCTCTTTATTTCTCAAATTGTTTTGGTTATTCTAGTTCCTTTTCCTTTCCGTATAAATTTTAGAATCAATTTGTCTCTATATCCTTACAATGAATACCGCTGAGATTTTGATGGGAATTACGTTATATCTGTAAATCAGTTTGGGGAGAACTGACGTTTTAATTCTAATGAATCTTCTAACACGTGAACATGGTGCTTCTCCGTTTATTTATCTCCTTCCATCTTCTTTGATGTCTTTCCTCAGAATTTTGTGGTTTTCAGCATACATATTAATATTTTAATTTTAAATCTTTTACAGACTCAATTATGGAAATGGGAAGTGAAGAAGAAAGATGGGAGAAGCTGGATGCAGAATTTGATCACTTTGTGGTAGATATGAAGCCCTTTGTCCTAAAATTACCCCATAGGTCAGGTAAGAATATGTTTGATTCCTAAGATTAATTTTTTTTTCTATAATTCAGTCAAATTAATGAACCATCAAAATGTTAAGAAAACGGAATTCCTTTAGTAACAGTTCTCATCTTGAATTGATGTAGGATGGCTTACTGTGATCCGCTGAGGCATAAAGAGAAATGTAGGGGCAATCTCCTGCTAAGCTCTGGGAAGGTCTTGTGATGCTACCGCCCCACATGCTTATGTGGGCCCCTCTGTAGTTAGCTACAGCAGTTTCTTCCTGCAGCTTTTTCCTCCCCTGGTGGAGATACTTCCGCTTTCAGGAGCTTCTTGGCTTTTAAGCCTCTTGACTCTAATTACAGGATTTGAATTGTTGTCTCAGGTTGAAGAATTTTCAGGTCATTTGAGGTATTAGGTAGCAATTGGAGAGAATTTGGGAGTCTAGGACGATTCTACACACCGGGCATGAAATTGGCTGTGAAGGTTTCTCTGATTTGGTAGCTCTTGAGGGCTTGGAGTGGGGCTGAGAAACTATGGCTTGTGCTCTTTCCAAAGTCCCTATTTCCCTGAGTTGTTGGAGCAAGTCTGTGTTCAAAGTGAGACACTAACTCAGTCTTTGATATTCATTCCAGGAGCCCTGTCCGGAGAAGGCAGTGCTCAAGCCGGCAACCTTGCCTTGTCCAGGGAGGCCTGACCTGCACTTCCTCTTAAGCCTCTTCCCCCACCCTCTTCTCTTGACTTCATCTTTTCTTTCCTTCTCTTCTTCAGAATGCGAATTCGATGCCTGTGGTGCATTCATGGTTATTTGAGCTAGTATTTAGTGTTATCTGTGTGTTGGGTCCTTTTCTAATACTGACTTTTTTTTTTCCTTTTTGTCTTACATCTACTTATCGGAAAAAATCATATTAAAATCTCTTATTACAAATTTATTTTAAATCAGACTTTCCTCATCTTCTTTTAAAAGTAGGTTTTAGGTATGTAGAATTGGACTAATTCTACTGTTTGATTCATGACACAATGTCATCCTCTTAGTTCATCCATGGCCTTTTCTTTTTAATTAACTCATAATGAAACACTTGGGAGTGAACAACACAGTCAAGAACTAGTACATTTATAATTACTTGGATCTTCTTATAACTGAATATTACTTAGATGATATCCGCTCCCCCATCATTTTAGGTAGAGAGAAATGTATTCTCATTAACCAGTCATTGTACTAAATTCTAAGTGTTAGAATATTACACAGATTTCAGTTTGTTGCAGGACCAGTGTGAAATACACAGTTTGGAAAATGATTCACTTACCAGTTTCATTTTGTGCCCTCCCCACACACAAAGTACACCTACTATTTCATGGAGATTGCTTTTTGATTATATAATTTTAAGAGCTAAAATAAAAGTTCTTTAGAGGCATAGCTGTGATACCAGTAGTGATATTTGTACAGTGGTAAATCAGCCCCAGGATTTTTGTAGGCAAAGTAATAAATGAGTATGAACTTTGTAAACTAAGAGATAAAGCAGATTGATGATTTGTGTTAGCTGTATAATCCTCACATTGAGTTAGACTTATGAAAAGGTTAATGTCAAAATAGTTTTCCTGAGATGCGGGCACACCACAGTGTTGTATCATGGCCAGATAATAGAACCAGTAGATCGTTACATGTGGATTAAGCTGTGCAGTAGGCTCAAGTGTAGCAAGTACTGTTGTTGGACCCGAATTTAGAAAGGAGTGTCGGCGCGAGGAACGTGACACTGACTCGACAATGCAAAAGCAAAGGAAAAGTTTATTTCCAAGCTCGAGCTGGGGTCTCTGCTTACACCGATGCAACGGTTTGGGCAAAAAGATCCGTGGCTCTCTATGTCTTACACTTTTATAAGATTATTAAGGGGCGGTTACAAACGAAGAGGTTAATTAGTAATGATTGGTACAGAGGATTAGTTCTGTTATTTGGAGGCTGCTGATAGGTGCAAGTTTGGGACTTTCCAGTTTCCTGCTAGAGAAGGGGTCCCTCCTTGGGACTTTGCAGGCTTTGGCTTTTCTGATTGGTGTTTGTACAGCGGTGATTTCTTGTAACTAAGTTTATTCTAGTAAATTGAAACTTAAGTAAGAAAAGTGAAACTTAGGCCTGGTGATACCTTGAGCCTTACCTAAATTAATAGTACGAAAACAAGCTAGGCTAGAAACTAAAGCTAGTCACAAAGTTATCTAAGTAAATTATGCTTATTAAAATAGTTGCTACTTAAACTACATATGTATTTTCAAAATTCCTAAGTAACTAGTAAAATAAGTTTCAGTACCTAAGGTTCTCTATTAAACTTGCTACATTCTCTAAGTAAGAAACTAAATGTTTAAGTAACAAACTAAAGTTACTATGTTTCTAAATTTGTCCTTCTACACTGTGAGGTTGGCACAGGGCAGGGCAGAGTTTGGTTCTGTTATACATAGGGTCACTGTGACTCAGAGCTGACTAAATGGCACACAACAGCAACAACAAATTTTAGGCAGAATTTTCAAGTTGTAACTATTTTATGAAATACATATAAGTATCACTCAATTACTCAATTTTAGAGATGTTAAAACTAAATAAATCAGCTACAAATCCCTGGAAATTACTGGTTTTAGTAAATAAGATGTTTGAAATTTAATTTTAGAATAAGTTTAAAATGTTAAAATAAATCAGAGATTGCATTTGATCTCTCTAGGTTTGTATAATTAGAATTATAGAAAGATTTTTTCAGTGTAAGTAACATTATTTTAGATGCTTCTGTAGCAAAATTTAATCTCAGAATGTATTTGATAATAATCCAGAGGTTTTATTTTTGTGAAAATATTCCTTGGCATTTGCCCTAAGGAACTTGACTGCTAACCAGAAGGCTGGAGGTTCAAACCCACCAGTCACTCCTCGGAAGGAAGATGAGGCAATCTAATTCCGTAGTGATACTGCTTCAGAAACCCAAGGAGGGGTTGCTATGAGTCAGGTACGACTCGATGGCACGTAACAACAACAGCAACAACAACAACATAGTCAATTAACTAATACAGTTAAATTCTAGACCTGAAGTTAGCAAACTATGGCCCTTGGGCCAAATCCAGCCCCTTGCCTTTTTTGTAAATGAAATTTTTGACACAGAGCCATGATCGTTTGTTTGCATATTATCTTTGGCTGCTAGTATGGCAGAGTCAAGGAATTGTAACAGTGATCTTACGGCCCACGAAACCTAAAATATTTACTACTTGGCTCTTTACAGAAGAAGTGGGCCAACTCTTGTAGACAAAAGCAGGTGCATTAGCGTTCTTTGTAATTTAATGCTTTATTTTCTGAAACATCAAGTCTCTAATAGTTCTTTTGTATTTGTAGAACGCCAGAGATGTGCTCTTTGGATTAGAAAATTGTGTGAGCCTTCAGGAACTGGCACTGGAATAACGGGCAGGAAGAATCGGAACCTCTATGCAAAACTCTTATTGCATATGCTTAAGCGAGGAGTGCTTGAAGGCCCTTTTGCGCATAGACCTGAGCCAGGGACACTCAGAACTTTACCTGCCTACATGGTACGTGCCGTGATCAAAAGACCTGTTCGTTCATTTCCTTAAAAGTAAGTGTCAGTTTATCATCCTTTTTGGGAAGACAGAGATACAGCATTTAAACCTGTTTATTTTTCTTTTTCACCTCCCTGATTGAATTATTTTCTGCCTCGAATAGATAGTAAGTCTTGCCCCATGGGGGTAATATCCTTATTGAGTTAGTCATTCCACAGTATTCCACAATATTTCTGAAAATTTGGAAGTGATTTTTTATATTGAGCCTTAATTTCCCACTAATTTTCACTTGGTTATAATAATATTTTATATTTTTTTGGTAATTACTGGATATGTGACTCTTTCATATATATTATTTCAAAATTCAGGAGAGGTTAGATTAGGTGAACTCTGAAGTTCCTATCCATTCTTATAAAATGACAATAGTTTGAGTTTAGAAGTGATTCCTATACTTTAATTTCATTATTAAAATTAGCCTTGTTACAAAGGCAGCTATTATGCTTGGTTGATAAATTGTCATCACCTTGGTCCTTAAACCAAAAGAAAACCAAGTCCATTGCCTTCCAGTTGATCCCAACTCGTAGTGGCCTTGTGGGACAGAGTGGAATTGCCCTGTGGGGTTTCCAAGGCTGTGGTCTCTATGAAGGCAGACTGCCACATCTTTCCTCTGCAGAGCAGCTGGTGGGCTTGAACTTCTAATCTTTGGTTAGCAGCCAGGTGCTTAACCATTGTGCTACCAGGGCTCCTTCCTTGGTCCTTACAACCATGATATATGCCATGGTTTGCTGATACTTAGATATTTTAGAAACCTGACTGTTGGAGTATTTCATACTGGTTATTCACTTTCATAGAACACAGGGGGGCTTTACTTTACAAATACTACTAAAAAGATGGCTCAGAGATTTGTCTTGGTTTTCTTAGCAAGGCCTAGTTCTCACTTCATCATTAATGCTTTTGTTCCCACCTTACTAAGGGATTTTTAATTTCTGTTTTGTGTTGATTGAGATCTCCCTGCTCACAGATTTATTTATTTATTTTTTACCAAGCAGTTTATGATTACAGAAAAAATAGTAAGCTTCTAAAGAGGGGAGCACATGATTTTAAAAAACCCCAAGCTTTTCTATCTATCTTTTTATACAGCTAATATTTATTTTATAATGCAAATAGCTGTTATCAGATTGATCTGTTATATAATTCAGTCATTCATCAGAGTTTCTTATTTGTCAGAACAAAACTAAAATATAAATGTTAGCAATTTTATGTATTTCAATATTTCATAATCCATTGCACACTGAATGATACATTTTTATGTATTTGTATATAATTAAATTTATGGAGAGTATTTGAAAGACTGTTAACAACCTTGAAAATTGCTGGAAATTTTAACTAAGTGTTGCATTGTGAAAGACTAATTTTTCTAATTTTTTAAAAATCAGTCCATCTATTTTGATGAACCAAATTCTGCACGAGCAGAAGATCCAAGTCCAGAGGGGTTACCAGACTGGGTAATGGGTGAGCTGGGGACAAGTGACCACAAATTAAATGACTCATGGAAACTCTCTCCTGGAGAAGATAGCACTTGGGTGCAGCTGCCAACTGGTGCCTACAGGTATGCTGGGCAGGTGGCATTTTGAAGGTGTCCTGCTCCATACATTCCATTTTTTCTTTCTTTCTGTGGTTAAGTAGATGGTTTATTTATGTTTTTTTAAGTTGAGAGCAATGAATAGATTTTGTGTAGGTAAACAAGAATTTTGCTTTTCCATTTATTATATATTCAAGATTATTTTACTTATTTAATGATTTTTATCGACATCTCTTAACCTATATATTCTGTTGGTTGAAAAGTAATGCTTGAGTATCTCTAATTCATTTGTGTTTCTTTTATGAGAAGCATAAATTAACATTATTACTACTTCAACAAAATAGAAAAAATCTTGACCCTTATGCTTGGATTTTTTTCCCTTTATTTGCCATGAACAGTATTTCTTTTCAGTTAATAAAATCATAAATGCAAACTAAATCCCCACTGTGCATTTTTATGGGAGTACTGATTCTAAATCGGATCCTCGGTACAAACGTGGATGTTAGGCGCCGTGAGGTCAGCGCCATCGCGTGGAGCCTGGTGTAAGGAACGGCACGCTGCCTGGCCCTGCGCCATCCTCAGCGTCCTCGCTCTGCTTGAGCCCATTGTTGGAGCCGCTGCGTCAGTCCGTCTCACGGACAGTGGTCATCTTTTCGCGTCCCCTCTGCTTTTCCCAGCATGCTGTCCTTCTCCAGGGATTGGTCCTTTCTAACCACATGACCGAAGTAGGTCAGACGAAGTCTGCCCATTCTCACTTCTGAGGAGCATTCCAGCGGTACTTCTTCCAGGAGACATTTGTTCATTCTTCTGGAAGTCCGTGCTATTTTCATTGTTCTTTGCGCACCACCACTCAAAGTAATCAACTCTTCTTTGATCTTCTTTATTCGTTTTCCAGCTTTCACATACATGTGAGGAGACTGAAAATACCATGGCTTGGGTTAGGAACACCTTAGTCTTCAAAGAGTAACATCTTTGCTTCTCAGCACTTTAAAGAGGTCTTTTGTAGCA